GGGCGCTGCTGCCAAGCGTCTCGCACGCCGTCGCAAACCGTCGCAAATAATGCGCCTCGCCGTGCGCGCGCCGAGAGCGCCTGCCGTGAAGCGAGGCGGGGAAGATGGCGGCGCGGTGGGCGATTGGCGCGGGTAAGTCTGAGGGGACGGAGTGGAGCGCTGGTCTCGGGAGGTTTCGCCTGCTTATTCCTTGTGCTGCTTCCTTTCAGGTAGTGCCTGGGTGTGCGGTCTCCTCGGCTGGGCGCGGCCGGAGAGGTGAGTCTGGTTCTGCCCTGCGCTTGGAGCAGGCCCGCCCCTCCGGGGAGCGGGGCATGGCCCGCCTCCCTCAGGGAGTCCCCGGGGTTGGAGGCCTGGGTTGCTTGGCTCGGCCTTCTTGCTGCTGCTTATTCCTTGTGCTGCTTCCTTTCAGGTAGTGCCTGGGTGTGCGGTCTCCTCGGCTGGGCGCGGCCGGAGAGGTGAGTCTGGTTCTGCCCTGCGCTTGGAGCAGGCCCGCCCCTCCGGGGAGCGGGGCATGGCCCGCCTCCCTCAGGGAGTCCCCGGGGTTGGAGGCCTGGGTTGCTTGGCTCGGCCTTCTTGCTGGCTTCTCACCCCGTCCCGGAGCTGTGGGGAACAGGTCACTCCGTACTTGCGTAGTGACTTTCTGTGTACTTGGAGATAGGCATGATGGGGGTGTCTCTCTTTCTTTCCTGACCCCTTTCTGTCGGGCATCCTGATTTCCTTCGGCTTTATGGTGTAGGTCGCAATAACGTAGTACTTGTTGCTAGTCATAGTTTTTCTGTAGTTGCTGATCTTTCTCCTCAGTTTGGAGGAATGGCACAGTTGTGCTAGGGGAGTATTGGTCACTGTTGACTGCAACCCTGACTTCAGAAGACAGGCTGATGTGGATTCTCAAAAATGTAGAGCTTTGGTCAGTGCTAGCGCCTGTGGAGGCGTCACTGAAGGAAGAAGAAATAGGCTTATGTTGTCTGTGCTTTGCTTAGTGCCTTGCAGCTGAACAGAGTTACATGATAATTATTTGTTTTACTCAGTTCTTCCAGTCTGTATGTCTCCTACTTGCTGCTTATGCATGATTCTTTCTAGAAAGGTTCTCGGCTTTTTTCTTTCCTGTTTCCCTTACTTACCTGTATATAATATATTTCTGTTTGTTGCTTGTCACTGTTTTCTTTTGGTTACGATGTGTTTGTGTCCTCTTTCTTCTGCTAAAGTTATGATGAATAGAGTTGTTCTTCACATGAGGTTGGATTACCTTAAAATAGAGGGAATGTAAGATTCCTTAGTTTGTCAAATATTTTAATGTGTTCTGCTAATACCAGGAAGACAATACTTAGGTCATTACTGTTTAAGTTGTTAAATTACAAAATTATATTAATATGCTTGTCAAATATTTTCGTGTATTAACCGATGATACTATGTCTGGTGATGATGAATTGTTGTCTTGATAAGTGAAGTTGTTAAGTATTAAGCAAATAAACTGGTTTTGGTAAATAGCAGAAAAAATATTCCGTAACATTTGAATTTGTATATTATGCTACCCCCTACCGATAGGATGTGAAAGCTTTAATGTGTACAGTGCCTTCTTGAAACTAATCAATGTGTTCTGTTTGCCAGTCATTTTTAAATGCTTTGCACAGTTTGGCTACCCGTATGAAGCTGTTCAGGCCTTAGTAAAACTTGCAACATCTGGTCTTGAACGCATCTGTTTCTTGTAGTTATGAGTGGCTGCCTGCTACTGCTTTGTCTAGTCAGCAGGGGGCAAAATGTAGCTTGGTTTTTCTGAACGAGATGAGTGAACTGACTGAAAACCAGAGTTTTTTTGCTGTCGGCTGTCTTATATTGACTTGATTGCATTTTGAAAGTAGCTTAGAATATCTTTCCTTTCAAATTTGAGAATGCTCATAGTCTTCTAATACTTTGATACTCATTCTCTTGAAAACCTAGAAACTTTTACTGCTGAAAATGTTGTTGGTAAAAGTTAAATAAGTATTGGCAAGTCTTGGAAAAAATATAAATTCTTTGTGTGAGTAATGAACTTCACAGAAGAACAAAGAGATGATTGTGTCTTTGTGTGATGATCTGCGGACACTTAATGTGTAATCTCATGCTATACTAATGTCGCTTATAGTTCATGGTTTGCTTTAGGAAGCTTGAGGCTTCTTGTTGAATTAAAAAGCCCTTTCAACTTAAGCTACAGACGACTTTAAGTTTTATTTTGTGAGTAGTCAAATGTGTCATTTCTCTCTATCAAGACAAGTAGGTTCACAATTTTCGAGATAAACTGGGCAGGTTGTGTTCAGCAACAAAGACTGTGGTCTTGTCTTGCAGGTGGCTAGCATCTGGTAGCCTTCTTCCTCTGTCATGCATCCACACAAGCACGTCTCTGCAGAAATTTGGGAAGTGGGAGAAAAAGAACAGGATTGTTTACCCTCCCCAGCTGCCTGGCGAACCTCGCAGACCAGCTGTAAGGATACACCTGTGAATTTCCTTACCTGTTTATGTTTGGCAGTTTCTGAACAGGTTGTCACTGTTTCTGGGTGACTCTGCAATTTTGATAGCTTACTCATTTGTTAGTTAAGATTTTAGTCAGTTTGGCATATTTATATTGTAAAAGCTAACATCACTTTGAATGTTTTCCATTTCTAAAATATATTGGAGCTTCAAGTTCCTTGTAGTTGATCACCTGCCTAATATGTGATGAAAACTCCAAAGGGTCCATCATCTTTTTGTGGAAGTCTCTGAACTACAAGGAGGTAGAAGTTACCAAGCATGTATAGTTATACACTTGTTCTGTTTGTACAGACAATAAATAACTAGAGAAAAACATGATTATATTGTTGCTTATGTGCACAAAGATTTAAATGTAACTTTCTTTGAGTAGAGGAACTAGTGGTGCCTGTTTGATGTAGGTACAATAGAGTGCATGCTCTTTTCATTTCTTAATTTCTCTGCATTATAGATTCTCTGAGATCTGATAACATGTTCCCTCTTGCTGTGGCCTCCCCTTAATGAAGCTATTCAGAGGTGGTTTTCTGTCATAGCGGTTGCTTGAAATGTTTAATATGGACTGAGAGGTTCTAAAGTTATGTGGGGAGGGACATGTGAGTTGGATGTGGGCATATGATTGCAGGAAGTTTTTTTTCCTTAGGAAACCATGTACTGTACAGTGGGGTTGTTTCTTCAGTCTGTTGCACAATAACTGGTGTTTTACCAAGCCATAAACTGAAGCAAAGATTCTAAAATCCTTTTGTTACCTGTGTGCTCTATGTAAGGCCTTCTACTGGCTGTTCAAGACAACTTTTGAAAAAGTCAGCATAAGTGACATAGTCAATTTTTTAAATGCAGTTATAAAAGATTAGTTTTTGATAACAGCAGGTTTTTGTCTGTTTCTCCCTGTCCCCCCTTATTGATCGTTTTATAAAACTGGGAGGTACAGTTAAATGTGAACAAAAGCAAGCCTCTTAATTTAAGTTGTGCATGAAAACTTAGTGTTGTGTATTTGATCACTGAAGGGACTAATCAGTGCTGCTTTCTCTGCAGCACAACCTGGGAGAATTTTAGGTTAATTTTTCAGTATTTCCTCACTTTGAAACTCATATTTTGGAATTCCATTTTTGTAATTTTTCTTCATTGGGAATTAATGTGTTGTGGCCTCTGTCAAGCATACTGCTCAGCGAAGTAACGTATTTGCATCTCAAAAGAATAGCTTGGTTGGTTTTTTTGACATGTGCTTTTGTGGGCCATGAGCGTTCATGGCTTCTGTGAACGTTATGGCCTAGGACGTGGAAATTCATGCTATGTACTGTGCTGACTAATGCAATGTATGTGAAAATGCAGTTACCGACCAACTTGCTTATTAAATTAGTTTTTTACCTGTTTTTAAAGAATGCCATCTCTTTCAAATTTGTATTGAAGTTAAATTTTACTAGCTAGTTTTGGTCCCTGTTAGTACAGTAACAATGTTAAATGTGTCTTTGGAGACAGTGCTTCACGTCAATCAAACTTGAAACCCTCTTCACTTCTGAAGAGCTAATTAAGTTCTGGTAATATTGTTCAGTTGCTATCCCAGTAAGTTAACTTGACAGTAGGGTAATATTTTTCAAGACTGAATGGGCATGTCAGTCTTAGACTGCTCCAAAAGGTAGTGAGGAAGAAAGGAAAAGATGATGAAAAATCTTCTTATCCTTTTCAGGGGCTTCTGTTTAATACAATCTTACAAGAATTAGTTTATAAAATTTTCTGTATGTAAGCGACTTTTTTTTTAATGATTTCAGTTTCAAATGTATGCCTGATTTGGTATGTTCATGGTATAGTAGGGGGAGTCATGCTTATTTTATTCCTAGTAAGAAAATAGATTGTGGAGCAGACATGCATGCTCTGTTGTTTTCACAAAAAAATTACTGATCCTCTAACTTTTTTTTTTTTTGCATCTAGGAAATATATCACTGTCGGAGGGAAATAAAATATAGCAAAGATAAGATGTGGTATCTGGCAAAACTGGTAAGCAAAAAATTCTTTGTGTACTGTATTTGTTAGAACACAAGATTTAATTCCTGTATTTGCTTTAACAGTCTAGTTAAATCACAGTCTAATAAGCATCTTCATGATAGAGTCCTGGGGAAGAGCATGCATATGTGCAGGGGAACAGGTTTTTGTAGTTTGGTTTAGCTGCTTCATCCTACTATGTTCTCAATTGTGTACCTAGGATCATATGCAGATTATGCACTGTGGAAGAATTTTCATATTGTTTTCTGCCTAGTAGTAGATGGCAAGGTGAATTTTGAAGGATAGTAATGGGCTGTTTTTCTATTTAAGAAAAAAATTGGAATGTTTTACCAAGATTTATTCAATATTTAGCTCAGAAGTTCTATATATAAGATAATACATTGACGAAATGGTAATTAAGGAAACCAAAGTCTTTGCTTTGCTCTTTACAACAGCAAAACTATTTAAAAACTGTCTCCTGAACAGGAGAAGGGAAATACTTTTAATTGCAGAAGTTAACTGTAACATTTTGGTTGCAGATAAAAGGAATGTCCATTGATCAAGCTCTTGCTCAGTTGGAATTTAATGATAAAAAGGGAGCAAAGGTGATCAAAGAGGTATGTACTAGTATACTTTAACACTCCTAGTTTCAAGAAAACTTTAAAATCAATACCTATCACCAGCAGTTTGGAGATGTTTCTATGTGCTTTTCTGTGTTTCTGTGGAGCACATTCAAACAACATATTTTTGTAGCAGTCATGTAATGTTGTGGTTTATGAATATGCCGAGGTCACTTGTGCTGGCTGTTTTAACTTGTAATGATAATAATTACATGAGTGCCCTCTCTAACAATGCTTGCTGTTAAGTTCATGGTAAATAATGCAGAATCCTTGTCACTTAATGGCTGCTACATCTATGTGCTTTGGTTTTTAAAATTGTAAGAGATGAAGGATATCATCAGGGAAGGGACTGAGTTCTGTAAAGGGATGAAAGCTTTTCATACACTGTAGTTGTCAGGAGTCTCAAATGACTAATTTTCTTGGCCACAGCATTGATTTCTGACATAATAAGGACAAAGAAGTATCCTGTATTAGCTGGAAATACTGAATGGTCTAGGTTAATTTTGCCCACCTTGGAATTTGTTTCTAGTCTGATGTCTAATTAGACAAAGGTCCATGGATAGAAGGCTGACGAATGCTGGTGGGAACCATCTTTTCCACTCCCTTTCCTCCCCAAAGATGTAATAAAGTTGTCCTGAAGCTTTTTCAGTCTGTATGCAAAGAACATACTTATGTAAAAGATGTTTGTCTTTTAACAGTTTTGATCTCTATAGAATACTTTTTCTGTAACTGACTTAAACTTACAATTTCTTCCATCTTCTCTAGAGATAAGAAATAGCATTGCTTAAATTCCTACTCAGTATTTCCATTTCTTTTCATTTTGTTACAGGTTCTGTTAGAAGCACAGGAAATGGCAGTAAGAAATCACAATGTGGAATTCAAATCAAATTTACATATAGGTACATTATTTTTTCTTATTTTAGTGCAAAAAAGTCATCCTACTCTATGAAAAAGTTTTATCCTTAATAAGGTTTTGTTGCTTCAAATCAGCAGAAGTGAATAGAGGATAGTTTCTAGTAAAATTACTTTTAGCAAAACATGAAAGGCGTGCGCTTCTAACTTGCAGCACAACTGAAGTTAGTGCGGTTGTTGAGCCTTCATGCATCAGGTTGTTATAGTTAGTGTCTGACTGGTGTTCTGGCATCTGCTAAATGCATTGTTTTTAAGATGCATTCATCTGAGAGTGGAATTTCTGCTCCCTATGTGAACAGAAAGTCCTGAAGAGGAAGATGTTTGACATGATTATGGAAGACTAGATAACAAGAAGCAAACTGTTATTACTTTTTAATGTTGCGAGCGAACATAGATGCTGGAAGCTTTGTCCATGGCTGGTACTACTAGATTTGCAGGATCAGAGTCTAAACTTCTGTTAGAATCAGTATAAATGAACATTGACAGTAGACTTCTTGATAAAAAGGCTTTGTTATAGATGATTACAGGATAAGCTGGTAATAACTACAGCACTTTCTTGCCTAGAGGAGTGTTAGAAATGTTTACTTGTAGGTGTTTTTAGACTCAAAGAAAAAAATTCCCATTTTGGCAAATACAGTATGAATGTTACTAAGCTGACCTTATAAGCTTAAAGTAACCTGGATTGTAGAGCAGATTTGATTAGAATTCTTTGGAGCCTTCCAGGCCTTTGCCATAAGAAGGTTTATCTGCTAGTGCTGGACTATGATGAAATAGTAGATAATGAAAATACCTATGATGAATGCAATAAAGGGAGAAAGGAGGGAAAATGAAGTCTGTAAGACTTCTACAGGAATTCTTGAGACAAACTACTGAAAAGCAGTGGAATTAATACCATCTTCAGAAGAACTGTGTAATCTAGTAAGTGCTCAGTGTAGCTTCCTTTGGATTTGTCCTTTACTACATATTTATCTTTGCATGCGTGCTTTCCAAATTCAGCTTTTTGGTGATACTGACGTGTATTAATTCAACTCACGGGTTCCTCTATTGCAGTAATCTGCTAAATGTAACTGAAGAAAGATGGAGGAGAGAACCCTGAGTAGAATTACCTTTTCATATACCATCATGAAAAATACACTGGCAAGACAGTGTTTCAGTTGCAGATGTGTAGTAGTTTATTCTTGACTGAATAGTCTTCTCTCCCTGACCTTTTTCCTTCAGCTGAGTCAATGACGGGCAGAGGCCGCTATGTGAAGCGGATTCGTTACCACGGCAAAGGCATGTTTGGCATCATGAAAATCGTCAGGTGCCATTACTTTGTGAAGTTGGTGGAAGGTCCTCCTCCTCCTCCAGAGCCACCAAGGACTGGTTTTGACCAAGCAAAAGAATATGTGGAGCAGCTGCGGAGTAGAACCCTTGTGAATACACTGTGACAAACTTTTGTAACTATATAGATATTTCTTGTTTGAGAATGTAATTATGTAAAAGAATAATTAAAATAATGTTTCAGTTATATCTTTGGTGCTGCTGGAGCTGGATGATCATAGGCTTTTTTTTTCTTACTTGTCAAGCCATAGGTATGGAAAAATCTTGGAAAGCAGCAACAGATGTTACTTTTTCTCAGTTACTTGGACCACAGCATTCAAGTTCTACCCTGGACTATCAAATCTAGAACATACAGTGCTGTTACAAAGCTTGTAAGGAATGTGGTTGTCCTCAAATTCATGCAGCAGTCTCCATTATGTGTGGTTGGGTCTTCTATTGTAAAAATATGTGCTTGACAGTCACATTGCAAGGTCAAGACTTGGACTACAACTGCTAAAATTTGACATCTTAAAGTACCTACAACAGTGGAACAAAACAAGTAACAATAATAGTTGAGATTATCAGGCATCAATTTATGGTTTCTTTATCTGGGCTGTAATGCTCTTTCCTTACAGCCTCTGTGCATCTTAGGTGTTGTATCTGGGACTGGGGAATAAAAAAAAAATCATTCAAAGGTCAGTTTTCGGCAGTCGGTAGGTGGCAATAGTTAGTTAGTCAGAGAGGAACTGGCAGTGAAAACTTACAGCATGTTGAAACTCTGTTCTTGATTCTGACCATGGCATTAATACTCTGATATGTGTATGGAGTTCAGGCTGTTCTCTGTGGAAGCTCAGTGTGGGTAACAGGCATAATATGGAGAAAAGCTTACCTTGGTGAAGAGTGAACTAGTTATTCTGCATTGTCTGGAAACCAATTGCTTTTGTAATATTGAAGCAAGTAAAATGCTTTGTGGATTTAATATGAAATGGTTTGTTGCATATACAAATCAGGCTTTCAGTTCTCTGAAAACAACCCCATTTTTATCATTACTTCTTTGAAGAGAAAAAGACTGAGGTCAATAGGGGGAATTTCACTTCACCCACTCAAATTTTTAATTCGGATCACCAGAGACTATGAGCATCAGCATAAAAAGAGAATGTGTCGTTGCTTGTTTATGGAAATGTCTGATATTTAGACCTTTCTTTTTCATTCTGGGAACATTAGAATGGGAGATAAATTACTTACCTCATTTGGGTCTTTTTACCACACCAACCTAGTGGTAACCTTTCTTACATCTGTTTACTTTGATCAGTACTTGAATGCTGGCAAAGGGACAGTTCCTATAAGGAAACAAATTGTCTTTGTTGTCTTAATGAAGGTGGCATACAGCTCTTTCTTTTGACTACCAAAGAAATGGTCTCATGATGTTAAAGAATGTTAGGGGATTGTGAAGTTACACAAGAAGTGCATGCATAGCTCAATACTGTTAATCGGTGCTTATTTGCAGTCTGTTTTTCTGCAGTGCACTTGCAGATGCATTACTTGCTTTAAAGCCACAATTTAGTAACTTTTGTCTGAAAGGTGTGTTCCTGATAAAACTCTCTCTCTGTAGTCTGTGATGTGTGTTTGAAGAACCGTTTCTGGTGTGCTATGATAAACAGCTGTGCTTTGCTCTGGCAGCTGCTGTTAAACTCTTTTGTCATACTTGAATGTCTTGCAAGTTGTAGCAAACTTGAATGACTTAAATCTTTTTTGGAGTCAGTGACCTCGGAGAAGACAAAAAAATCGCAAAAATAATCCAAGCTTAATAAGCGCTTGTCATCTAAGCATGTAAACCTGGCTTCTAGATATTTTATTCCAGTACCTGTTTGTCCTGCATGCTGCAGATTTTCCTTCAGATCCCTTCTGGACCTTCAGAAAAGGTTGTATCCTTAGAGATATCATTGCTCTAGTTATGAATCTGCAGATGGGGAGAGAAGTGAGAATGTGACTGATGTCTTTTCTAGCCTCTTTATGATGCAGCAGGTGGCCCTGACACTCTTTAAATAAACAGACCTGGGCTTTTAAAATTTTTCAGTCAAAAAGCAAGGTAGTTGTTTGTCATTCTTGTTTTCTTTCTCAAAACAGTAAGTGGGAAGACTCTTTGGACATGCTTTTCAGCATGCCTCTTATTCTTCTTTCCTGCCTTTTTAAAGATCTGTAACCCATAGTGGATCCTTATGGTGTTGGCTATGGAAGCTCCACAGCTGTGTCTGTAACGGTACAATGATGGGAGATGTGATGAGATGAGGGGCTTGAGCTGGCTTGATCCCTGCCTTTCACTGGTAGGACAGTAAGAGTGTCTGAAGTGGTTTCTGTGATGGGTGCATCAGAACACTGGTGTGGGAACTTGCCTGAACCTTTTTAAAATTCAGTAAGATCCAGTGATAAAGCTTTATACTGTTCAAGTTCTATATATAAATAAAATTGGGAGTTTTTGATTCTACTGTGCTTTCTTGGTAATTAGTACATCTACACTTCAGTGAGATATCCGATATGGATTCAGACAGAAAATTCTGTGCTAACTGCAACAGGTCTTTAGCAGAAGATGGTCATTTATTACTGTGACCTCCCATAAAAGCACATTCTTAAATGAGCTGTCACTGGAAGGGAGGGAGAGAGGCAACTAGGCCTCTGCTTGATGCTAATTTTATTAGTAACGTCTGGGGGCAGAGTAAACTCACCACTTGTGTGTGTATGTGCTGATGTTACAGAAACTGGAGAAGGAGCAAGTATGCGTGAAGGTGTAGTAAGGCTTCAGGGAAATCTGAGGAGAGCAGGACTGTGAGCTGTGCTCAGCAATGTGAGATTTAATGGAGGAAAACTTAAAAACCTGCTGTTGAGCTTATTCATAAACATTTTAAGGTATCCAGTGAGAAAGTCCAAGTACTTTGGTCAGACAGCCTGGTGTCTTTTTAGATGTGCGTGTGTTTGTTTTTTTTTTCCTTTTTAAAACTCCTGGGCAGTTACTGAAGAGGTAGTTCATCAAAGGTAGAGTAAGGAAAGACTCATGAATATAGTTATAAAGTGGTAAATGTGAGTGTGATAGGCAATGACTGGACAGTTAGGCATCTCTGATCCTGATCAGGTCTGTACTGGGAATTGCTGTTGTGAGGTAGACTGCATTAGAACTTGGGTGGTACGTGGGCACAGACAGGCACGTTCTGCCCAGTGCTTCAGCTGTGATGCTGTACCTGGCGTGCACTTGACTAAACCAAGGTCACATGGCAGAAATCTTCTGATTGCCCCTGTCTGCACGAATGGGAGGTGTATAACAGTACTGCCACTGCTGCATTGCGGGGTTGCTTGGGAAATCCTTCAGTCACTGGAGTGAAGGAACAACAGGAATCACTGTTTGATTTTCGAAAATCACTGTTTGCTACAAAAATTCACTGCTAGGATGCTAGAAAGACATTTGCAAACAGAATTCTCCCTTAGATGGAAATAAGGTTACTCATAATATCCTCAATGAACCGTAGAAACAAAGTGTGACATTCTTTACCACGTGAGCTATAGTCCTG